GCAAAGCCAAACTACGAGCAAGAGACTGAAAGAAGCCACATGTTTCCTCCTTTGTTTCAAGAAAATAGACCCAAGAGTAGCGAGAGAAATCATCCACTACAACCAAGACATACCACTTCCCCCCAACTGACTGGACCTGAGCAGGACCAACCGTATCCATGTGAAGCAGTTGTCCCGGTCCATCTGTCATAACCATTGTAACAGGCTTGTGGGAGGAAGATGTCATTTTCCCATGACGACATGGTGCACACACAAGATCTTTCGGAGCTTTCAACTTAGGCAAACCCCGAATCAAATCCATACCACTAATGCGAGACAAGTGGTCAAAGCCAATATGACCAAGACGTCGATGCCAGAAAAACAAATCCCTATTCTCTGAGGCAATGAGACAACGAGAAGGACCAGGAGCAGAAGAGTCGAAGTTAGCAAAGAAAACTCGACCAACTCGAGAAATGTCAAAAACAGGAGATTCAGAAGCATCAAGAACTCGAGACCTGTCCTTTTTGAAACGAACTTCCAGATTTTCATCACAGAGTTGTAAAACAGAGAGCAAAATGTACTTAAGCTTACTTACAAGCGCGACATCCTTTAGCATGAATTTGTCATTGACCTTGATTGTTCCTTTAGCCATCACGCGTCCACTGCTCGCATCCCCAAAAGTGATGGTCTCATCACCGGATGCACGAGTGAGAGAAGTAAACCACTTGGCTTCACCGGTCATGTGGCGTGAGCAACCGGAGTCTACAAGCCAAGAATTACTTCTCCCCACTCCAAAATCCTACAAGAAAGACACAGCAGATCTCGATGATTCAGTACTGGGGTTAGTGAGAAATGACTTAGTAATCCAGTACTGAACCATGCGAGGAGTACAAGCATCTTTAGTGTTATGAGCATAATTATATGCAAGATGACCATGTCTGTTTTGCCCCAACCCTGCTAGGTCACATCGAGGGTGCACATCTCGGCGAGGAAAGCGAGATACACCACTTGAATGACAATGACACGCACACTCGAACCTCTCAGGGACTCTAGCAGCTCTTCTAGTCCTAAGACGTTCTTGTCGCTTTTTTCTAGCCTTTCTAAAGCAGAAACCTACCAAATGACCAGCTTTCCCACAATAGGTGCACTCATACTTGGTTTTCTCTACAGGCTTGGTTTGTTTCTGGTTTTGCTTGTGCTCAACTTGTTTTGGATTTTTGGGTCTAGGTAACTCTACAGACTTAGACTTGCTAGTCATAGGTACCATCTTTGGTTCTGAGGTTTTGGGTGTACTAGAACTAGTGTTTCCAATGAAACCTGCAGACTTGAAGGTTATAGGTTTTTGAGCTAGTTCTATCATCCCATCTGTGACACCTAAAATCTCATGGGTACCTATCCTCAAAGACTCAGCAAAATCATAGCCTATACCTTGATTGTTTATGGACACTTTGGATTGGTCTAGGATCATGTTCAACTTTTTCTTTCCTTGAGCAAACCTCTCTAAAGATTGTTGTAGGTACGAGTTCTCTCTCTTAGCGGACTCAAGATCAACTTTCAGAGAAATGCATGATGAACATGAATCAACAGATTTGACATAATCAATGACAATTTTAGTATCTTTTAGTTCAGTTTCCAGGATAACACAATTAGCACATGAAGAATGAACAGGCTCCTTAGTAGCATAAGATTCTAGCAAATCATTCTTGGTCCTAAGCATGTCAACTTGTTGTCTTAATTCATCATTGTCACTAGTGAGAATGGGACAATTTTCACAACTACTTATCCTATCATGAACAAAATTTTCTTTTAGTTCTTTCAATTCCATCTCAAGCAAACTCATATCAACTTTCATTTCATAGCAAGTAGAGCAAGCAGCACTAGCACTAGAAGGATTCCCAGCTCCTAAAGCACATGATTTCAACTTATCCTTGAGGAGATTAATTTCAGAAAGATATGAAGCACAAGTAGAACAGGTATCCTCCTCAGGAATCATGGATCGAAGCCTAGCAATTTCTAGCGCCATTCCATCATTTTCATATTTTAGTTTCTCAATTTTATACTTAGAAGACCTATACTTGTCACTAATTTCAATCATCAAGTGTGTCATTCTTTCTTTGCTTAGTTCATCATCAACAGAGTCATTATCTGAGCAAGAATCATCACAAAGAGAACCATCCAAGGAAGGGATATCATCAAGACATACCTCATGATGCTCCGATGAGTCATCCTTATCCTCAAGTGCCATGAGACACAGGTTGATGAAGTCCTCGTTGTTGGCGAGACAGTACATCCCGGAGAAGTCCTTGTCCCCCTTTTCTTGATCATCGTCGTCGGAGTCGATGTCGCTAAGCTGCACCTCCTCAAGAGCCGCCAAGACCTTGTGGATCGCCTTCTTTATCAAATCCTTCTTCCCCTTTCGCCCTTGTCCCTCGAGCTTCTTGGTTGTCTTGTCACTCTTCTTCTTCAACTTGGGACAATTCACTCTTATGTGGTTAGGCTCTCCACACTCAAAACACACAAATGGTTCATTGGTTTTTCCTCCTTTTCTATCTCTCACATTTTTGTAAGCTCTTGAGAATTTTCTAGTAAAAAGAGCAAGATCATCTTCAGGGATCTTCTCTAATTGCTCCTCAGTGACTGAGTGTAAAGCGGCAAGAGAGAAGCCACCACACACAAAAGCTAAGTCATTAGAAGAAGTACTACCAGAGGGATCAGCTACCAAAGCCATCGAGTGTTTGAGGCCTTTCCGATGGAAGACATCCATCTCATGGGTTTTTAGCTTTGAGTAAAGCTTGTCCATGGTAAGGTCACTCAGAGGTGCACTCTCTGTGATGGAAGTAACTTTCATTTCCCAAACACCATAATCAAGACAATTCAAAAGATGGCGAGCATTATCATTATCAGAAAATTCTTTTCCAACAGATCTCAACTTCGAAACAATTTCTTCAAAACGCTTGAAATAAGAATCAATGGACTCTCCTGGGTGCATCTCAAATCTTTGATATTCTTTATGAAATTGATTCTGACGAACCAATTGAATATCATTGTTTCCCTCATGGAAATTGCACAGAGCAGTCCACATGTCATGAGCGGACTGGTGGTGTTGAACACGATTAAATTCACCAGAAGAAATTCCACCAATGATTGCATTTCTTGCACGATAATTAAAATCAACTTGAGCCACATTTGCAGGCGTGATGTCAGCATCATCGGGCATAGTGTAAGGTGATTTAACCTTATTCCACACATTATGCCCTTGCGACTGGAGGTAGGCCTCCATTCGTGCCTTCCAAATGACAAAATTGTGTCCATCGAAAACAAATGGTTTCGCAGAGTATTTTTCCTCCATAGCTGCGTTCGTTGCCACGGTTAGGTTACAACGAACTTAACCGGGCTCTGATACTAATTGAAAGACCAAGAACGGCTATAGAGGGGGGGTGAATATAGCAATTCAAATCTTTCCCCCGAAAATACTCATCAAGCCGGATTTCTCAAAATCCTTACTAGAACCGCGGCTATTAGAGAAGCCGGATCTAGAAAAGAAGAGAGAAAAAGAAGAGAGAAGGAATTCCCGAAACTAGAAGAGGAAGAGAAAAGGAATTCCCGAAAACTAGAAGAGAGGTTAGGAGGAGAGAGCAAAACTCATCATCGCAAAGTTCAAATTTCAAGCGGAATTTAAATTGCGGAATTTAAATGGACAAGGCAAAAACGAAATCCTTCAAATCATTTCATTCATAGGTGATGCAAAATAACCGCTCAACTAGGAGCAAACAAACACCTTCAGAGGAACAATAACACAAACTTAAAATCTCTCGGACAAACACACTCCAAACTAATCTTAATACAAAAGCCTCTCGGGCAAACACACTCCAAACTCACACGGAAACTCTCTCACCGAGCATCTCAAAAGGATTACAAAAGGAGCAACCTCCACCCTTGCATCCATCCCTCTATTTATAGCCTAAGACCCCTAAGACATTGTCTCAAATACCCGTGGGGCGAAACCCTAGCCTTGATAAAATCCTGGCTGTCCATTGTTCCTTAGATCCGAAGGAAACCTCCTGGATAGTCGCCACGTTGTTGATCCGAGCTCTTCACGTCGCGTGCCCTCGTGCGATCCGCGTGATTCCACTCCAAGCCAATCAGTGTACACCGATCCGCGTCGTGCTCCTCCAAGCCAATGCATCCGCGCCACGCGTCCCAGAGAGCCCGCGCCCGCTCCTCTCGCACCTGCGCGCCACAAGTCAGAAGCCGCCATGTCGCCGTTCCTCCCGCCGAGCCGCTTCTGCGCGCGCTCGCGAAAACCACGTTCCCGCGCGTCTCCGCTTCCTTGACGAACAGAAGGCCGCCACGCCTCCAGGTGCCGTACGATCTCCCGCCTCCGCGCGCGCATGCACACGCCTGTGCATTTGCCGAGCCGAGCTGGGCCGTCGTCATGTCTAGGGTCTGCTCGGCCTGGCCTTCACCATCTTGAGTCAGCAACGTGCTTGGGCCGACCGAGCTCCCGAGCTGGACAGGCCGGATTGGCCTTCATGCCAACCGAGCCAATGATCTCCTTGGGCCACGTGGAACGGCTGGATTGGCTTGGCCTCCCTGCCAACCAATCACAGCACACATGCACAGCTTCTGCAAGCTCCTCCTTGCACAAGTACATTACGTGTACATGCAAGTATGCTACCTACAGTAAGTCCATTTACTGTAGCAGCAATGCACTTGCACAGTCCCTTCTGATTTCTTCGCGAATCCGATGCTTGCACACTTGACCTTCTGAAGCCCGTTGCAAAGACCTCCTCACACGGTATTCGTCCACCGTGTGCAACCTTGTGTCCAATCTTGTCACCTGGCATCCTTGATCGCTTTGGACCTCAACTCCTCCCTGAGTCTAGTCCCGATCCGCCGTTGACCAAGATCGACTCCGATCACCTGCACCCACATGAACCAAACAACCGTTGTCTTGGCACAGATGTCGCAACCTGACCAATGTTAGTCCACGCACACACTTCTTGCACTTCCGGTACTTGTCAATTTCCCATCACAAAAGAACTATAACCACACATGGTTTCACACAGATTCCATAACTTGTGTATATTTTTCAGGTGCTTGTTCTTGACATCATTGCATTCTTCGAGATCCAGGACTCTCAAAACCTTGTACCTGTGAAACTCGCAAATGGTGTCACCTGCCGTCCCGAAGATCGTCAAAGACCGGACGCATGACAAATCCATATCTGTTGTAGTTCTGCGCTTGTGAGGTGTCCTATGATCGATACAGAGATGACGAACTTTCCTTCGCCAGTCAGGAAAGGACATGATGAACCTCTCAAGTCTCGACGCCTTGTACAACATATACTCGTGCACGATACTGCGAGTCTTGCACATCTTGACATCGCCATTATTGCTTGTGTCAATGATAGGATGAAAGATGTCCCAGTCTACAAACGTCTCAAAATTCCAACGTGCAATAGTCTGGTCATCAATGTCCACATCTTCGCTCCTTGCGAATCCTTCAGCTATCCAACGCCTGATTATCACTTTCTTCTCGAGCGGAACATCGTTTGGAAATATGCTCAAATATAGCAAGCAGGCCCTGACAACGTGGTTTGAAAGACTTGTGTAATTATCCATGATCACGCCTTTGAGTCTTTCAAAGTTACCATTGTCATGTATTTTTGAACCTAGGTAGCGACACAATTCGCGACAGCGCTGCCCAGTAGGCTCATTTAAACCTCCCAAATAATTGGCCACACAAACAAGGGAAAGTGGATGGCCATCACATTTCTTAAGTAGTTCTTCCGAGCCCATCTGCAACTCAGGTGAAGGTGCCTCCCCAAGAGCTATTGTCTTGCAGTATTGATCTTCAAGATTTTGCATTTGGTATATGAAACCTTTGCCATTGCCACAGCAGGTATTCGCTTCCGACTTAATGGTTGTGGTAACTATTATCCTGCTTCCGTTGTTTCTACTATTTTCTTCGAAAGCTGATTTTATAGAATTCCATTGCCCATTCCCAATGTCATCAATAACAATCAAGTATCTGACAAATTTCTGACAAATTTCGGGTAAGAGCAGGTACAATAGCAGGCTATAAGCCAACTGCAAATATATTTTAAGGAGATAAACGAGGAGAGAGAAGAGCAGTGGGCTACAAATTTGTAGCCAGCTGTATTACGGACTCCAAGACGCAATGTGTTTATGATAGGTGGGACCAGTTATTGATAGTGTAGTATGTAACTATTATATGAATGAGCTATTAGATTGGCTATAGATGAATTAGAGCTAGTAGTTGACTATATTATTAAACTTGCTCTAACCAACGGCCGGGCGCAAGGTTCAGCGAATGAGTGGTTTTACGATCCTCAATAAAGTACTCAATGTAGTACGTAAAGTTCCAATACATTCTGAATGACCGTAAAGGTGTGGATGGGTAATGCGTGCAACTGGGAAACAGCTACAGAAATTCTCTCACCTTCTACCCCTGAGGTAGTCCATGAGCTGGGCTTGGAGATATTGCTCGTCATCGACCAATAATCCCTGACCCCGATAGCCAAATTGCTGGAGTAATGATCTGAAAATCTCCCCCGCATTTTTCTCCTTGGCTCGATCAACCCATGCACGGCAGGAACGAAACACCCGGATTCTATCATCATCAGTTGAGCGGAACACTGCCTTAGCGAGGGTCGTCTTGCCGGAGCCGCCAAAACCCACGATGGCGATAACCCTCAGCTCCTCCGGACTTTCCTCCAGCATCGCGAGGATGTCCCCCTTGGCTCCCTCGACGCCCACGGGGTTGAGTTGAACATGTTCGCGTTGTTGTGCCGCCGCCGGCGCCAGTGGCGGCGGCGGCGGGGGCTTGTCGTAGACGAACTGGCACAGGCGTTCATTGGTCAGCTCCTCGAGGCGCCTGTTAAGCGCCTTGATCTTGTCCCCGAACCGGTAGCGTGTGCAGATGGTGAGCAGGAAGCGCCCCAGCCGGCGCGCCCGCGACGCTCCCTCGGCGCAGGACACGCGGTGGAGGAAGCGCTCAATGCAGTCCTCCATGTCGTGCGTCAGCTCGCGCAGCTGGTCGCCGAACACCTTGGCGGCGGCCGTGGGGTTCTTCGTCCGCCGGAGGTCGTCGTCCATGGAAGCTGCGAGCAGAACTAGTTTACGTCTCATTGAGTCGCTATCATCGATCACGTTCATGACCATCTTACAACTGCCTGACAGCACCTTAAACAGCGGCGGCATGACAGTGTTCACGAAGGCAGTTATCACCGCTTTCTCCATGGTCTCTGCTGCCTCAATCATCGATCGATACAACACTAAATTTTGGTACTAACTTGATCTAGATCTTTTTTGCTCGGTATCTGAGATTCTGAAGTGGTGAAGTGGGGGTTGAAAGTGTTTTTTAGTGAATGAATGGTGCTAGAAAGACGATCGACCAGAAGGGTATAAATAGTGGAGAACCTTAGACCGGGTCAGTACATAGTTGGTTGCTTGGCAAACCGAATCTCTGATACATAATCCATGTCCCACAGAATCACACATATCTAACCCATGTCACGCAGAATCTCTTGTATTTAATACCATGTCAAACCGAATCTCTTATGTATGATTATAGCTGAGATATTTTTAGATGCCGTACCTTTCGGATCCACGGAGACCATGAGGGACAGTAGGATTTTTTTAAAAAAATTACACAGTACAACGCAGACACTCACAATGGAGGCACGTAAACTCTACCCCTATGAGCATCTTCGAAGACTGCGCAGGCAAATCCTTGAGATTGACGAAGTCACCACAGGCGCCTCGCTGTCGACGGGTACGTCGCCTACCACTGAAAGCACAAGCCGTTAAATCATGGAAAATTTGCTCCCATGGAGAGTCAAACCCAGAACCTTATGTGCTACTGAGACTCTTGTAACCACTAGGTTATTGACCCTTTCACGGGGATAGTAGGATTGTGATAATTGAAGAGAAGGTGTTGTCGTACCTTTACAAGTTGTGAGGGTGTACTATTACAGGTGTAGACCAGAAGGAAACAGTAATTGGGATAGCTATTGCTTTTGGTAGCGGTGATTCTGGCATAGGCTCATCAACCATCTCACGAGGAATCTGCAAGAAGAAAACCCCAAGTCTAGTGGATTGGTGAATCCACATGATAATTCTACTACTTGTGGGTGGCGTTACATTCAGTGAGGTGGAGCATGTTAAAATAGGTGCCGAATATACTTGTCCTAATAGGTTGTAGTTAAACTTAAAGTTGTAATATATGGTAGCTAGAGGGTGGGGTTAGCATCAGACTCCATAACCCGGTAACCCTTTAAATAAAAATGGGGGCACCCACTACTAGAGAAACGATTTTTTATCCTAAACCCCAAAACACAAATATCCTGACTAGATCAAGAACCGGTACTAAATATGCTTTAGTACCGGTTCTAAAAGTTGAAGTTCCTAAAACTATGTTTAATTCCGGTTGGTGTTACCACCCTATAATAAAAATATATCTTTAGTACTGATTGGTAACACCAACCGAGACTAATGCTATAGTAGCATTAGTCTCGGTTGGTGTTACCAACCGGTAATAACGATGCAATTTTAGCACCAGTTGGTAATACCAACTCATACTAAAGATATTTTTAGTACCGGTCGGTTGGTAATACCAACCGGTACTAACGATGTCTCTGGGATCAGTTCAAAAAGAAAGCATCTACATTCAAGTCAGATGTGTATAGTAGTAGGTGGAATGGTAACGTGTGTGAGGACTGAGTTGATAGATCTTGAGTTCGAATCTCACATCCCACACTTTTTTTTTTTGACTTAGTATGCATCTTTTGTACTCGTTCTTTCTACCGGTACTAAAGATAGTCTCGATTTACTGGTCTCGGTTGCTACAGCCGGTACGAAAGGGGGTTTTAACTAGTATTAAAGATTGTTTCTCCTGCAGTGACCACCAATGTAACAATCATGTCAATAATGTAACATAGGCACGCAGAAAGAGAATGGCGGCGAGACCATGGACTCATAGCAGCAAGGGGTGCTAGCTATGTTGATTACAGAGGAACACCCATAATTAGAGTCCCGTGCATTAAACGTATACTAATAACAAAACAAATTACAGATTCTGTCGGTAAACTGTGAAACAAATTTAATTGTTAAGCCTAATTAATCCATCATTAGTAAATGTTTACTGTAGCATCACATTATCAAATCATGGCGTAATTAGGGTCAAAAGATTTGTCTCGCAATTTACATGCAAACTGTGCAATTGATTTTTTTTATCTACATTTAATGCTTTATGCATGTGTCTAAATATTTGATGTGACAGAATTTTTAGAAGTTTGAAGGGATCTAAACACTGCTATAGTCCTTATATATGCTTCCTAATTAGCACCTGTACGTGTATGAAAAATCAATGTTGAGACTAACAAGCTAGCACAATAATTACTGGAGTATCTACTTGCTACCTTACCCGGCCCACGTGTTATCATGGGAAAATTTGGAGTAAAAGAATTAATTAACAGAATTAGAGGAAAAACTCAAGTTGCAAAATACTATCACATATACATAGAACCTAAGCTGATGAATATATACCATCAGTCCATCACAAAGAGAATTTGAGTTGAAAAATACCATTACCGTGATCATTTCCACCCAGGGAAGAAAATGACTAATTTGCCCCCTGCTTTTTTTTCTTCTTTGTTTCCTGTGCTTGCTATACTTATGGCTCTCAATTTCATAATATTTTATACAGACTGCTTGCCTTATACGTACTCCCTTCGGTAACAAATAAGTGACATTTTAGAAAGCAACAAGATTACCGAAATGATCAATATTGATTGCTAGTATAAAACCTATAAAAATATAGCAAGGACGTTCTAATATTTTGAAACTCCTTTTTGTTTTCAAAGACAAATATACCTATATCAATTTTTAAAATTAAATCGAAATATTTTAATAGAAATTGATAGTAAAAGTTTAAACACAAAACACATTGACTTGATGTATTCAAGAACATCAATTATTGTTGATAGGGATGCAGTAAAAAAATAATATATTTATTTAAAAATTATGAACTGTACTATTTCCTTGAAAATGTTTTTATTGCTTATTTCTTAAAGACTAAATTTTATAAAACTACAGATATTTTGGCTAAACTATCACAAAACTATAAATTTAAAATGTGTATCATAAAACTACAGATTTAACATGAAATTTATCACATAACTACATATTTAAAGCATTGTATCACAAAACTATGCATTTAGAAATGAAATTATCAAATAACTACAAATTTTAGAGTTTATATCTATAGCACTGTTGATGTTACAAAAGTTGTAGCTTTCTGATAAAACTGATGTTATACTATATATATATTTAAATCTGATGTTAAACTGATGTTATATATGCTCATTTATAAAATTGTAGTTTTCTAATGATACTTTCAATCTATAGTTTTGTAAAAAAATATGGTTTTAAATCTGTAGTTTAATTTGTAATACACTTTCTTAAATATATAGTATTGTGATATATTGATCAAAGTACATTAATTTTGTAAAATTTACTCTTTCTTAATTTTTGCATTAGCTGATTTTCTAAACATTTCCACCATAAATTAAATGCGAGATTTGTTAAATGCATCCAAACGCGACTTGGAATGTTGAGTATTACAACTGAGTGGAAAAAAAAGGGTAGTGTTGGAATTTTCAAAACTCTCTCTCCTAAAAAGGTATTAATTGCAGTTTTGGATGAAACAGTAATGGTACCGGCATTTTCCAACTCAAATTTCCCTGTGATGGTATTTTGTAGCTGATCTTCTTGTAGTGGTATTTTCCAACCCAACATTCTTTGCAACGGCAGTGATCAAATTTGCAGAAGATTTAATGTGGACAAGTAGAAAATTTTCAGAAATTAGTTAAAGATTGGAAAGTGCATTTAGTAAGATGGGTAATGAGATCATAACCTTCAACACAAACAGCTAGATCATAACCTCCTCTTGTGTTTCCAAAAAAAAAAAATGTTGTGGAGAATTTTATCTGACTAATATTTTTTTTAGAAGATGTATTAAAAACTCGGTCTCTACAAGTACATAGCCAAACATACATTGTCAAGAGTATTTAGTTTTTGGGGCAATCGTATATTTGACCCTATTTTGAAAGCAAACTACCAACCAATTTGACCTTATTTTTTTAACTTTGCTTTTTTTTAACCTACTTTTTTGACCCTGCTTTTTAACTATCGACATCAGACATGACCCCATTTCGTGAAACCAACTTGACAGTGTTAATTTGAGGTCGAAATACCTTTATATCCTTACTCATTTGACCCTAATTTTTTTATACGCTTTGGTGTACATGATGCAATTTCTAATAAATTTCACTTGGAATTGATATGTCTTGTGCGAATTTGAATTAGATTTGAATTTTAGCCAAAAAAAAACAATTGAGAACGCAAATTAGATCACCACAACAAATGGTTCCGGAACAACATGCCAGCATCGATTCAAATCCATATCAACATGCAAACAAATCCCTGCTAAGAACATCATCCAACAATAACATTCAAACAAGATCACAAAAATCAAACAAGCGCTGGCACCGGCGCATCCAGCCACAGCCGCCGCTCCCTCCACATCTCGCCGCCATCACTCCCTCCATGTGTCCTCATTGTCGTCGCTCCCTCCGTGCACCGTCGCCGTCGCCGTCTGATCTGCCCATCGCCTCCCTCCGCACGCCGGCGCCGTCGCCGTCACCGCGCCTCCTCCTTGCGCTGCCGTCTGATCTGCCCATCGCCTCCCTCCGCACGCCGGCGCCGTCGCCGTCACCGCGCCTCCTCCTTGCACCGCCGCTGCCTCCTGCTCGCTCCCCACGTCGGCGCCAGCGCCGTCGCCTCCTCCTTCCTCGTGCCGCTGCCGCCGAGATGTGAATGAGAGATTGGTTGAAGACTTGAAGTGAAATGTATGAGGGTATTTTGGTCACTTTGAATAGTAAAATGATTCTTTTTCTTTTCTTTTTTGAAACCCTAATGGCATAGTGTAAATAGGGTCAAACGGCATGCTCGATTTTAAAAAGCGGGGTCAAATTAGCAAACTAAAAAATGTAGTATCAGATTAGTAGTTTGGCTTTAAAACAAGGTCAAATGAGCAATTGTCCCTTAGTTTTTTCTAGACCAACATGCTTATTGCTTGTGCTTTTTCTCTCTCTTTTTTTGTCGGAGGAGACTTAGAATCGGGCGCCCGATCCAGGCGTCCAAAAATCGGGGGCTGACGTCAGCATGATGTTAGCGCCACGCATGTGTGAAAAACCATTTTAAACTATTTTTTATCTTAAATTATTTATCGAAATTATGATCTGATTATACTATTAAATTTGTTGCAATTAAATCTTCAAAACAAGACCACACATGGATATATTCCGACGAAATTTTTTAGCTTATTATTGAATTATATTTTAAATGTTGCACGATGTTACACCAAGTATATCGGAATTATTTCACTAAGTAGATCGAAAATGTTCAATCGTTTAAATCGGGCGTTGTTTCACCTTATATAAAAACAATGTTTCAGCAAATAGCGAAAGAATATTTCAGTTCACTGCAATGTTAGATCTATACATAGTAAAACATTATAAGTACACTGGATTATTTTTGGTGGAACAAAAAAGTGAAACGAATTCTCATAATAGAGGGTTTTGAAAATATGTTGGTGATCTGTTACAAAATAATGTTTCAGTTCATTGCAACATTAGATCTATACATAGTGAAACATTGTGAGTAAACTAGGTGAAACTTTTTTTTTTCGAAAAAAAAATAAAACGAATTTTCTTAACAGATAGTTTCTAAAATATATGGGTGATTTGTTGCATGGAGTTGTGTGTGGACAAATGATTGGGAGCAGGGGACACGTGAGTGAGGCCTAGAGGGGCGTGCATCTTGGGGCGAGGGAGCGCCTGATTTCGGCTACCTTCCCCCAAGCGACCGATTGGAAGAAATTTCGTTTTTTTCCGTAATTATTGCGGGGCGTCACACACCACCAATCCACCGTGCACCATGCTCCCCTCCGGCCTCGCAGTCGCTCCGCCTCCCATAAGCCTCCACGCCGCCGCCTCCCGCACGGGCCGACAGCGGTATGCACCCGTCGACCGGCGTGCTTCGATGGGCCGGAGCAATCCGCCGCGGCCCACCCGCGCCGCGTGGTGGCGGACCCGACGCCGCGAAGGCGTCCCTCCCCTCCCCTCCCCGCCGACTGGTACGACACCGCCGCAGTCATCGTCGCCGGCGGCCGGAGCAGCTAGGTTCGGTGGTAGAGAGAGGAGGAAGGGAGAGAAGAGGGGAAAGAGCCTGAGGAGGAGGAGGCCTCGGTAGGCATCCCTAACGCCAAAGGGGGAGGAGGCGACGAGGCCTTCCGCCAAGTGAAGTCATCCGAGGAGCCATCCGCCGCCCGGAAAAGTCCGGTGGCGAAGAAGCCGAGCCGGCCGCATGGGGGGAGTGGGGGGCCCCAACCGGCGTGTTCCCCGCCGACATCTCCCCGCCCGCGGCCGCGAATCATGTTGCTCTCTCCCTGTCACTTCACAACACGCGGAGGCAGCAGCGGCCGGTGGTGCGGGGCTGCGGGCTTCGTCTCGGCGGGACGGACGGCAGCGGCTGGGTAGCGTCGCGAGCTTGGACCCCCCGGCGGCGGCGGCGTGGGGAGGGCGGTGAGATCGAGTCCTGCGACGTCGGGGTCGGGCTGTGGCTGGGAAAGTGCGACGAGAACGAGCACGCCCGGTGGCGGTTACTGGAGGAGCACGTCGAGGTCGGGCCCTTGGCGGCGGCAAGGTCAAGCCTTGGCTTCCTGTAATCAAAGGTAAAATTTTCCGAAATTCAGCGAAGAAACGGTAGAAATTTGCATTTCTAAAAGTGGCAAATAGTTAAATGCCCCTTTGCAATTGAGCCTAATGGGATAGATGAAAAAAATTGAGAGTTTGAAGTACAATTATTTATTTCTACACCAACGGCGTTTCTTCTCTATATGTTACAATCATATTTCTACTCAGGGAGAACCTGTCAATATCTTCTAGTTGAATTCATATAACATAAACACCATGCGCTACTTGGCAGGTGCCTCATTGTACTTGATAATGTGTGGACTGTATCAACATGGAATGTTGTTAGACATGCTTTACAAGAGGATTGCTGTAGTAGAATAGTAGTAACAACAGAAATTAACGATGTGGCTCAGGCATGGAGTTTTTACAAGTCTCAACATAATGCATCTCACGTGATCAAGAAGCATATTTTGAAGATGGAACCGCTTAATGACGATTTCTCAAGAGATTTACTTGTTAGTAGAGTTTTTGGTGATAAAGACAAATGTCCTGAAGAACTCAATGAAGTTTCATATGAGATAGCACGAAAATGTGGCGGTTTGCCACTAGCAACTATCGCTGCAGCCAGTCTTTTATTGAGTCGGCCAGACAAACCAGATGAATGGATCTATGTACAGAAGTCGTTGATTCCAGATTTGAGGATACAACCTACTTCCGAAGGAATGGCACAACTACTGAACAATAGCTTCAACAATCTTCCTCATCATTTGAAAGCATGCATGCTGTATCTGAGTATATATAAAGAGGATCACATAATCAATCCGGACGATCTGGTTAAGCAATGGGTAGCTGAAGATTTTGTAAGTGCGACGGAAGGGAAAAGTTTGGATGAAGCTGCAAGGAATCATTTTTATGAGCTTGTCCATAGGGGAATACTTGAAACTGAACATATCAGCTGTAGTGATGAGGTTGTATCTTGCACAGTGCATGACATGGTTCTTAACTTTATCAAACGCAAGGCAATGGAAGAGAATTTTGTCACTGCAATTGATCATTCTCAGTCTGGTATAAGACTAGCAGACAAAGTTCGACGACTCTCTCTCCATTTCGGATATTCAAAAGATGCAAAGGCACCAGCATGTATTAGATTGTCACAACTACGATCACTTGTGTTTTCTGGATTTTGGAAGTGCGGGCCTTCCATTTCGGAGTTTCATCTTCTTCGAGTTCTATTCCTTCATGGTAAACATGGCGAATTTCTTGACCTCACTAGAATTCGTGAACTGTTTCTACTGACTTATTTGCAGATTGAAGGTAATGTTTGCATAGACTTACCATCAGAGCTCCAAGGACTGAAGTATCTCAGGACTCTGCATATTGGTGCAATGGTGACCTTTTTGAGATCAGAAGTTGTTCATCTTCCGCCGTTGCTGCACTTCAGACTTCCACCCAATCTAGGGTACTTTGTTGACGCAGGGAGTGTACAGAGTATTGAAGAACTGACCAATTTGCAGGATCTTCAACTCGCATGTCCTCAGATAGCCACTTCTGACCATATTAAGCACAACATGAAACTGTTGGGTTCAATTATTGGGATACTTAAGAGCCTCAAATCTCTAACAGTTGTTCCTGTCTGCTTCTCTGAAGATTCTAATGATAACGAAAATTCAAGCATTGCCATTTTCTTGGATTTCTTAGATAAAGTTCCCCCCCCTTGTAGCCTTCTGCAGAGGCTTGAGTTGTTTCCACGTGTTTGCGTCTTCCATAGACTTCCCAGTTGGATCATAACTATTGAGAAACTCTGTATTTTGAAAGTAGCAGTCATGGAACTCCTGAGGAAAGACATTGAGACTCTCTCAATGCTGAATGCCCTCACTGTTTTCTCACTGTATGTCCGGACAACCCCTGCAGAACCTATCATATTTGACAAGTCAGGATTCCATGTTTTGAAGTACTTCAAATTCAAGTGTAGTACTGTATCAAGTCTGAGATTTGATGAAGGAGCTATGCCCAACCTCCAAAGGTTAAAGATGGAATTCAATGGTAGCACAGTGGAGCAATACAACCTTGAAAATGTGGGCTTCAAGCACTTGTCAGGTGTCAAGGTCAGCGCAAAAATTTGCATTGCCGGTACTAGTGAAGCTAACAGAATGGCTATAGCCTCTGTACTGAACAATGCCATCAGGCAAAATACAAGAATATCAAGTGTAATCATACGGTTCATCAACAGGGTTATAAAAGGTACGAATTTACATACCCTACTGTAACAATAAACATGCCCTCTTTTCTGTGTTTATTTGCGCAAGATACACTCCTTGCCTTAACATTGGAATTTGGACGAGATGCACATGGTCGATTTTTTCGCTATTCAAAATATTTTATTTGAGAATTTAACTAGGGTAATCATTTGAACCACATATCTATTTTAGTATGCCATTTGGACATGCAAATTTGACCTGCAATCATCCATTTCATTTTTGTTTTACCAATCAAAACATCCTACTACCTGCTGTAGTATAATGTCTTTAGTTAGGTCGATCAACAGCAGTGGATATCCCATATCCTACTACGTAATTCTTTTGTACACATCATACTGATTTTATTATATAAAAGAGGCCCAATGATCAGATCAGTGACATTGTAGAGATGGTACTGTTGCAAAGATAATGGAAGCAGCAACCAGAAGGTGTACACAGCCACATTATTACAAGCGTGTGTGAAAGTTCATTAAAATGATAAAAGAAGTATTCGACAGGCTAGTTAACTAAAAAAAAAAAAGATACATAGGCTAGCTGTTATTAAACCACCATCCAATATGGTTGAAAAGTTCTGTGACTACGCTCCAAGGTGTTGCCTGCATCAAATACCAGATCATGCAACTCCTCACGCTGAAGAGACCAAACCATAGCCAGTTGGAGCCCATAAAGATGTAAGATTAGGATAATTCCTTTTATAGAAGAAAAATAAGTACATTTTACTGTCCGAACTATTTCATTGGACCATTTAACCCCCTAATTTTGTTTTGGCTCATTTTACACCTGGAAATATTAAAAATGGTTCACTTTACTCCCTAACGATATTAGGAGCCATCGTTTCGCTTATTCGCGGAATAAGTGAAACGGCATATTTACAAACGAAAAATTATTTGTAAATAAAACTTTTATATACGTGTTCTAAGCGATCTAAAAGCAAAGGCTGAAAAATAAACTTTGATGAAAAAACCTCAAAATTAGCTCCAAATTTAAGATTAAAAATTCAAATTTTGGCTGATAAGTATAAGCATAAGCGAAAAGTTGAGGCCCATTGTTCCTTTTCGTTTCTCTCTATATAAGTCATATTTTGCATTGAAATTTTGGTAGAACGATAGATGCATTACAACATATGTCTTGTGACATTCCGGTCCAATCAGGATTAGGCCTGTGTGGTACATGAGAGCTGTGTGCGCATGTTTAGTATCAACTGCGGTAGTGTAGCAAGGTTGGAACCAACTTATAAACACGGTTTTGTAGGGCGGGCTGTTACACGTCTCAACATTTTTTAGATTTTTCCCCACTCTTTACATAAGTCGGAAACAGCTAAGACTGATTTAAATGTGGAGATTTTAAAGTTCAAGCCAACAGTCAAGAAAAAACTTAATTTTTTTTTTGAAGTTTGATAATGGTATCAGGGATGGCTCTAAAAAAATTCAGCCTAAAATACAACTTATATAAAAAGGAAAAAAAAAGAGAAATGTTATAAAGGAGTAAGGTGAACCATTTTTAATAGTTTAGGTGGTAAAATGAGCCGAAAAATAGTTTAGGGGTTTAGTGGTCCAATGAAATAGTTTGGGGGGGGGGGAGTAAAATGGACTTCTTTTTCTAAAAACAATATCCTTATGACGTAATCCAATAGATAATAACCGGTTGGCCGCACCAACGTACACCGGCTTATTTTAACTTTTAGTCCAAACCAACTAATCAATTTCCGAATAAATTGGACAATACTAGTGGCTGGATCCAAATTAAAAGCTGCATGTACCTCACGCCACACAGTGTGCTGTATGGCAATGAAAAAACAAATGTTGAATAGTCTCATTGTCATTAAAAAACATTTCTAGCTGTGTCGTTAATTTCTCTTAGCAAAGCTAATCCTGTGCTATATACAAACCCACGTTGTAAGCACCAGAAAATAAGGCTTGATATTTGAATGAACAGAAAATTCCTTTTTCTGATGTAAGTTCATCTAAAAGTGTCGATTTCATGTGTCAGTTTAATATTCATGAGCTTAGAAACTAATTCCTTCCAAGCTTATACTTTATCACCTTCTGGCTGTGGGATATGATGTTCTAATATCGTGCTTGCCCATCATGGTTATGGCCTTATGGATATTCAGTTCTAGAATTATCCTATACTTACAGATTTGATTGCCTAGTTATTCTTCTACCTGATTCTAAATACTAATCATTTTAGACAAGCTCGAGGATTAAGAGTATAGGTGAAACGGTTTGGTTGCCCTTCATTGGTAGCACATTGGATGACACATAATGTTCAATATATTCTGAATGATGGAGAAAATAATATTTTATTCTGGTACTCCCTCCGTTCCAGGTTATAAGATGGTTTGACTTTGGTCAAAGTCAAACTAGTTCAAGTTTGACTAAGTTTATACAGAAATATAGTAATATTTATAATACCAAATTAGTTTCATTAAATCAATAATTGAATATATTTTTATAATAAATTTGTCTTGGGTTGAAAATGTTGTTATTTTTTTCTACAAACTTAGTCAAACTTGAAACAGTTTGACTTTGTCCAAAGTCAAAATGTCTTATAACCTGAAACAAAGGGAGTAGCATTTATTTAGTAAAGGCAAGAATGGGAGAAAAGCGAACATACCATATGCAAATCTGAGCTTTAGGTCACAAGCATCGAAAAACTTGAACATTAAGACACCTTCATTTTCAGACTAAGTGGGAGCTTTTGTTAGATATTTTGTGACCTATTAATATGAGAAACCTTTCACCTCTTAGTGTTAACTGTTTATATGGGATTTTAAGAAAAAACCTTCAATTAGCCATTATAAAGAAAAGATACTGTATTAGATCTTTATATGGTCATCTGGTGTGCTAATTCTTCGGGCTTTGGCACAGATCTTCCGATTGTCCCCACCCCTCACACGGATCATATGCATGAAAATCTGAGGCTGGATAAGAGTGTCAGGTCCTGGCCTACCCAGTGCGATGGCTGCAAGGAGCTTGGTGCCGGCCACAGGTTCAAGTGCGAGCAATGCAACTCCAAGGTGTACTATGATATGTGCTGCGCAACAGCGCCTCACACCCTGAAACACCCTCTGTTCCCAGGCTCCGTTTTTCGGTTCCTCCGAAAGCCTCTGGCCTCTGAATGCGGTAGGGCCTGTGATGCATGTGGTGACCTCATGCACGGCTTCGTCTACCACTGCTTTGAGCGTGGCCTCGACCTCCACCCACGCTGTGCGAGGCTGCCTGTTCGCACTGCAAACGTAAAGGGCTATGTCATGGAGCTTCGCAGGGTGTCGGCTTGCAGCAGATGTTGCATTTGCATGTGTGGCAAGGAGGGTTATCGCAACAAGTTTTGGTCCTACCGCTCCAGTCAGGAAGGCCAGGACATTAACGTGCATATGGCGTGTTTAAAAGACTTGGCATCAAAATCACATGAAACCCTAACTAAACTGTATGAGATCCTAATGGGTGAATCACAGTGGACGCCAACAGAGGTTTTAGGCGAAGATACATCCGACCAATTAGTTGTCAGCAGGTATCAGTTCATAACTAGCGATCACAAAAAACCATCCAAATTTTTGTTCTACTTCGTCCAGTTAGTATACGACTATTATTACACCTGTTTCAGTGCGGAGGATGGTGATCGTACGCCACTGAGACAAGATGAAATTACAGAGGAGTTTCAGCACAAGGATGAAGTATGTAATGTTCTAGAGCATGGACGGGAGGAACTCCGGAAGAAAGAAACCGATACCAGGTAATATATAGTTGATTTCATTACTAAAGAACGGCCACCATCAAATACAACTGCTATTGCACAGTTGGTCAATTCCAGAGCTAATGGTCCACGCTCATCGCAGCCACTTTCCACCGCTGCGGGTTGTTCACTTTATTTCTTAACCCTAATACTCTAGTAATTACTTTGCACTCCCACAGGTTTATTTTCAATTTACCATGAACCAACATTAGTTCAACTCAAGAACAATTATCACTTAAAATTTGACATTGAAACAACTTAATCTAAACAAAAATTTCACCCTCACCAAAAATTTGAACTCAGCCAAACATGCGTTCATCTATTGACTCATAAACATTTTTCTTTTTTAGATGGGATTGTTGTAATTTGGGTGACACCAGCTGACAAGAAATTCAGAACACATAGATCCCTGGAATTGACTTAGGCCCTGTTTGATTCAGCTTAGGATTATTATAATCTGGATTATTAGGAGTAAGCTGAAACAAACAAGTAGATTATTATGCTAGATTGTTATAATCTATAAGCCAGATTAGTATAATCCAATAATCTCCTCTAGAGGAGTAGAGGAGCTTTTTCTAGATTATTGAGTGGCTAAAGACCCACTACCCTTAGATGTCTCTAATAATTCAGAGAAACAAACAACTCGCAGCTTATTCTATGTTAGCTTATTATAATCTAGGTTAGAATAATCTAATTTAATAATCTAGATTACAATAATCTTAAGCTGAAGCAAACAGGGCCTTAGAAATACTTAAAAGTCGATAATGCAAGAGAGCAGGCCATTGTTGATGAGATTCGATATTTGTTATGTCTATGTCCCTCGGAGCCAAGTAAGGTGACTCCGGCCTCTTAAGAATTTATTTGATGATATATTGAGGCCTGAGGGTTACATCGGTTGGCCATATAGTTATACTCCAATAACAAGAATCCACATGCTAAGAATTACTATTCTACTCAAACTACAATACCATAGTTTTGCCTGTAACAGCCATTTTGTACCTTGATGGGGTTCTAGTGTTTGTATATAACTCTAAAATTGGTCGACCTACGATTACCCAGCTACCCAACTTATCCATCAGATTACATAACAAACTGCCTCGGATCACCACTCCAATCTGACTTGGACCACCCATCTGCTCAAGAATATTTATTCTGACGTCTGTTTGGATAACTTTATCTGGCTTTAGAGTAAAGATCGCCAAGACAAACTCAATGTGGGTTTGCTTAGTTGTTCTGTTATGTTGATTGTGGCCTTTGCAGTTCTCTTATCATACAGTTGACAATTTGACATGTGCATTTTGAAAGCAGAATAAAGAAAGATCATAATACCTAGTATGTATAAACAAGTTTGAGTCTAGCATATAATTAGATTGAAACTATTATTTCGTGTAGGAAAAAGCCTAGTTATTGTCTCTCAATTATCTTGTTGGTCTAGTTTTCGTCGCTCAATTTATAAACCAGGTAAAACTATTCCCTCAACTATGCAAACTAGACAAGTTATGTCCCTTGGCTGGTTTTGGGTGTGACATGTCATCGACTTTGCGCGCCCAGCCGTCCTCCACATCATAGAGCTAGCCCCACATTAGGGCCCTTATCATCTTTTCTCCCTTCCCTTTCATATTTGGGTGTTGGTAAAAAGGTTCATGAGTCATAGCCACTATTCGTCAGAGCCGGCATGAGGTCCTGGAAAATGATGAGTTCAGTTGCAGGTCTGTAGCCTCTCCGCTGGTGTCAGCAAAGTGGCCAACCACAGCATACACCTACGTGCAATCCATCCTGGTGCCTGCACCAGAGCTTTTTCTTTTTATGAAGGAGCAGCCACGATTAACATGAAAGACAACTGAGCAGGAATCGGCTGAATATCTACTTGGTGGCCTCATCATCCTTATTGGCCATGTATGCCAGCACGTACTGCTTTCAGTGAGAATTCCAGTATTTTGCTAACGTGCATAGAAAGGTGATGCAAACTTGTAAAGTGAATGTCAGACCCAGAAGAAGAATAAGATGAAAATAGATATCTAGTGTAGCTGCAAAGCAAACAAAATATTGAGTCAAAATTGAACTGAACTGATCATAGCAGCGGGAAAGGTGGGCAGCAGTCTCACCAATGGGACAGTTGAAGACAGATTCCGATGGTGTATACTAGCAAATTGGCAGGCAGCCATGGTGCCACTTCAGCAGCTGCTGGAAGAAGACAGGGCGCAGGAGTCGCCACACCAGTACTACTCTCACATGCATGTTGGATTGTGTGCCCATCGCTGCTGGTGAGCTCACAATGGGGAATTTTGGGAGTGAGGGAAAGGAATAGTTAGAGAAGAGAGGTAACTGTTAGCTGTTTCATCCATGTCATCATTTTTTTTGGTAAAGGAAGCTTTTATTAATCTCAGTCGATTACATCAAGCTGATAGAACCATACTAAAAAAAACTCCCGGCCTCTGCATAACTAGGATGCACATAGCCAAAACACACACACACCCACAAAAGAGTTTGTAACAAGTGAAGGAAAGTAGTAAAATCTAGGGAGCACCAATCTTCAGCCTAGACCGCCATCCATGTCCTTGAGTAAAACACTCCCTGACCACCTACTCCAAGCGTTGACATGCCGCTGCAACCAAATCTTGTGAATCAGGCTTCTGAAGGATAGCCCATGTACGAAGGAAGTGGATAGTTTAAAAAATAACCTATAAAGGAGAAGAGATGTCATATCATTCCCGCAAAACCATAATGACCAACAAATAGTGGTTACCCTTAACAGGATAAGCGACTTAAGGTCTTTCCTAATTCCCCGTAGCCAATTACCAGACATATTGGATACACCACGAGGCGGGAAAAGCCCTGTAGCCACTTGTATAGTGCACCACACAAAACGGGCAAATCTGCATTCATAAAACAAATGTAATATTGTCTCATCTGTGTGACAAAAGGAACAATTCTTACTTCCTTGCCAATTGCGCTTGGCCAGGTTAGCCCTTGTCAAAACTATCCCACGACGTAAATACCTTAGGAAGATCATGACTTTAAGTGGTATTTTTACTTTCCAAATTACTTTATTTATGTTGGGCACATCTGAATGTACCAAGGCAAGATAATGTGACTTAACTGAAAACTCTCCATTCTGGATTAAATTCTAGTGGAACTTATCTCGGTCCTGAGTAAGCGCTAGATTTGCCATTCGTGGAACATGGTTATTCCATGCCACTAATTTTGGCTCAATAAGATCCCTTCGCCAAGATACATTCGGAGGGTAGTTTTGTAGCACATTTGCTATAGTATCCTGTTTATTGTATAGGCAAGGGTATTGTTCTCACAGTGGTGCTTCTCTCATAATGAATTTGCCAAAACGTAGAAAATCACGCTTGACCTTCATAAGGCTGGCCTAGAAGTATGAGTCCCTAGCTTTCCACTCGACTTGTGACATAGGTTTTGAGCCCAAGTACTTGTTACGAATCAATTGTTGCCATACACCATCCATCGTGAGTAGCTTAAATAACCACTTGCTAGGAAGGGCAATGTTTTTCATATATAAATCATGAATTCCTAAATCCCCTTTGTTCTTTGGGTCGGCACATAATACTCCACTTCATCAAATGACACTTTTTCTTTTGATCATCACACTGCCAATAGAATCTAGAGCGAAAACAATAAAGTTTCTTGAGTACACCTCTCGATATTGCGAAGAAAAACATCATATACAGGGGAAGACTACTAAGCACTGAGTTTATCAATGTTAAACGTCTTCCCGTGGAAAGTAGTTTCCCTTTCCAGCTACCAAGTCTCTTCTCATAGCGTTCTTCTACCCATTTCCAATCATTATTTCTTAGTTTCCTATAATGAATAGGAAAGTAGCATAACGGGAATTCGCCAGAAGAACAACCAAAGAGTTTGGTATATTGGTCTTCCATGGTTCGAGCATCACCAAAATAGAACAATTCACTCTTATGGAAGTTAATCTTGAGACCTGAGAGATGCTCAAAAGCACAAAGCAAAAGCTTCATGTTACGAGCCTTCTCAAGGTCATGCTTCATAAAACGAATGGTATCGTCAGCGTATTGTAGAATGGAAATGCCATCATCCACTAGATGAGGGACTACTCCACAAATTTGTCCATCTACTTTGGCTCAATTGATTAGAGTGACCAGCATATTAGCTACAATATTAAAAAACATTGGCGAAAGAGGATCACCTTGTCGAAGGCCCTTTTTTGTTTGGAGGAAATGTCTGATGTCATCATTCACTTCTATTGATACATTTCCACCCAAAACAAAAGACTCGATCCAAGAAATCCACTTGGTTGGATATTGAGATTTCATACGAAATCCAAATCAAAATTTGATCCTTTCATACGAAGTCCTTGTCATCAATTGTATCACCTTAGTTGCCATGTGGACTCAAAATAACCTCAAACCAGCTCGAGGGATTAAAGGTGTTCGGTTTTGATAGTTTGAGGACATAGTTTACCTGGTTTCAAAGATGAGGGATGGCAACTAGACTAACCGAATAGTTTAAGAGTTTAGGGATGGAAATTATACGTTGATGTAGCACAATTATCGGAGGAACTTCTTCGGTGTGCTGATATGTAGATATAGCACAAAATGTTGTAGGAACGACTTTAATGTGGTACTCCCTCCGTTTCATATTGTAAGACATTCTAGCATTGCCCACATTCATATAGATGTTAATGAATCTAGACATATTTAATATCTATGTGAATGTGGTCAATGCTAGAAAGTCTTACATTTTGAAACGGAGGAAGTAGTAGATAATGCCCTAAGGCAGCCCGAATCCACGGACAACAAGAGCTTAGTCCAAAGCTCCAAAGAAGATCTAATCCATGTTCTGTAATAGGAACATCTAGTTCTATTGATAAGGTGGTAAGCAAAAGTAAGTTCCAAACTAGAGGCCATTGCCTCTATTTAAAGGCTACAAAGCCATCTACAACTCGATACAACTATATGACAACCTGATGACATCCTAATTGACAACTAGGATGCTACTCAAAACAACTCATCTATTACTCAATGACACTTAGAACACAACTCATTGGACATACAAGTATTTTCTAGTGATATAATGACATATGCAATATCATAATTATTCTTGAGTTTTCATGAAGTATGTACTATAGATTCAAAACTCAAATTTTGACTTCTTGTTCTTAGTAGAGAAAATCCAATTCTACTTGTAACACCTATACTTTATGAATTGGTCAGGTGATGTTCCTCATCACGTTCTCTTGAGTATACCACTTCACTAAAAACTATATATGTACAAGTTTGCAATTAATAAGAAAAAAATCATTTTACTCCCTCGAACTATTTAGCCGGAGGATTTAACCCCGTAAACTATTTTTCAGTCATTTTACATCATAAAACTATTGAAAACATTTCACTATAGATGATAAGAGAATCTACTCAGTACCACTGAGTTCGATACACTTCAACAATATGCCACTGACTTTGTTGATATCAATAATATGCCATCGCCTTTTCCTTAACCTCTACGATTTACCATCGCCATCTACAGCCTGTTAGTTTGCGTTGGAGAAAAGACAAGTATGCCCTTAGTGAAGATCAGCAGCACTGAGACCATACCGTGCAAGGTACCGAGAGTTATAATAACTATAAAGAGAACATACAACGGTACTAAACATATGAAAAATATCTTTATTTAAGCAGCATGATTATAAATAATTATGAGCACATATTTTAAGTATTTTGATTATGAACAAATATCTCCAAGGCTACAGGAGGGGGTAGAGCTTTGATTTGCCGTGACTGTTGAGGAGCGGTTGAGGGATTGCACTGACGACAGTAGTAGCTCTCCAACAGGGCCAGGGCCACCATGTCCCCTTGCATGCAATGCCGGCACTGACGACGGCGGCGGCACCAGCAGTAGCTCCAGCAGGGGCGTCGACGTCGTGTCCCCTTGTTTGCGACGGCAACGCTGATGACGATGGCAGCACCACCAGCAGCCCTCCAACAGGGGCGCCGTCTCCCGTCGGATGTGACGATGGTGGCTAGACCACCGCTGACTTGTGCTACGGATGGTGGCACTGGGTCCCGAAGGTCGGGTCGGCGCTAGGGATGGCGACGTTGGCGAGGCGTGGCGCTGTGGCGGCACTGGGAAGGGTGGTGATGCGGCGCTGGGAGATGCGATGCTGGGAAAAAAGGGGCCCTGGGCCATGCTAGGGTTAGATGATTCAAAGGGTATTTTGGTCATAACTAAGAAAATTAACAATACAAACGGCGCGACGATGGCAAATCATAGAGGTTAAGGATAATGCGATGGCATATTATGGATATCAACAAATTCGGTGGCTTATTGTTGAAGTGTGTTGAACTCAGTGGTACTTTGTAGATTCTCTCGACCTATATATATAAATGGTATTTTGCATTGAATTTGATAGGACTGATAGATGCATTACGTCTTACCTCAGCATTTTCTTTAGAACTTTCATCATTGTTTACAAGGTTGGAAGCACCTAAAACTAACTTAAACATCAAAATTTAAATGTTCAAGCAAACAATCATGAAAAAAATTGAAAATATTATGGAACTTAGATAATGATGCCATCTATGGCTTTAAAAAATTTTAGCTTAAAATAAGACTTGTAAAAAATAAAAAAAAGATAAAAAATGTACCCCCCATCTCAAAATATAGTGACATAGTACTGTATTAGACACAACTTAGTACTATGAATCTGGAAAAAAGAGTATTAAGCAGTATAATGAACCATAGTTAATAGTTTCAGTTGTAACATGAGCTAAAAATTGTTTAGGGGTTTAAGTGACCCAATCAAATTGTTAGAGTGAATGAAATGGACATTTTAAATGAATAGTAAAATAAAACGAAAATTGAACCCGCAAAATTTATTTAAAATTCTATACTAGAAAATTTTAAGCATAATAAGAAAGGGATGCTTCACAGTAAAAAAAAAAAATTGATGTGTTGGCCATATGCGGATACACAGCTTGAGAACTGGTGCACTAATCTGTCTTATTTGTACATCTAAGTTGAATTGTTGCTCTTAATAGGTCTCAAACGGTGACGGAGCCTTTGTTCTCACCAGGTCAAGGTAATACACCTCATTGTCATTTTTATCTATTCCAACCCTTACTTTGGGCAAACTTTGTTTGGGGTAAAAGGTAATGCTAGTCATACACGCCTAAATTTTGGGAATTACGTGTGTACAGATAATTGTAAGCTTTCCAATTGAAATCATGTGCAGCACATCTTTTTGAAATCGATAAATTAATTGACCTTTTGGAAAGCCAAAAGTTATATGAGAAGCCTGCTGATGAGTGGCCATGTGAAATAAGCTAGGCAGATATGTAGTACTCCTTCCATCCAAAAGTCTAAGGCAGTTTTTTTTCACCAAGACCAAGGGGGGAATAACTCATCTACCATGTGATAAAACCAAGGAACTATATGTATGCATGCAACCAATGAGTATTAAGATGACTGCTTGGGTTCTAGTCAACAATTTAATTTAGCGCATCAAAACTACAAATATGTCCATCTCATTTAGAAAACCAGAAAGTGAAATATGTCTTGACTTTTTGATGGAGGGGGTAGAACTGAAGTCACCCCTGTTTGGAGAAAAGAGAAGGTACGCAACTTTAACAAAGAGTTTTGGATAGGCAAGCTGATTGTTGAAATGTTATATCTCAAAGGGTGTCTCATGAGGTAATGGCATTAATATATGAGGATCACATTACGGTAGAGTTAGCTTTAAAAGTTTTCATCCCTTTTGGGAGAGAAGAGAAGGTATCCAACTTTGACAATGGGTTTTGGCTATGAAAACGGATGGGTGAAATATCAATTATTATCTCTCACGAGGTAATGGCATTAATATATTAGTGATGAAATTAGGATAGAGTTAGATTTAAACGCAAACAACTTGCTCCGCATAATCCAAATAGATAAACAAGCTAGGATTAACGTAAGATAAATACTTAACTGGATTAATTAACTACGAGATATATATGCTTTGGTTACGAATATATACACTGGCATATAGTGCTAACTGCATCACACATGTTTTATAGCACCGGAGGAGGAACCTGTGGCAGAGCCAGAGATGATCACCCACCACGACCACCCGCAGCACAAGCTTCGCCTGGTGACCACGACTTGTGACATGCCGTTCCGCTGTGACGGCTGCTTGGAGCCAGGATACGCTCCCAGATACCGCTGCGACGCCTGCAACTTTGACATGCACACGTTCTGCTCCAACCTCTGCCGGCCATTCTACAGCACCCTATGTACAAAGGCCGCATATTCAGGTTTTGTCCCAAGCCTCTGCCTCCCTCGGGCCGCAGGGTCTGTGACGCCTGCGGCGATCCCGTGCGCGGGTTCATCTACCACTGCTTCGGCGCCAACCTCGACCTCCACCCGTGCTGCGCCAGCCTGCACGGGCCGATCATCCTCGACGGGCTTGCCTTCGACATCGGGGCACCAAGGAAGTGCTGCCTTTGCATGCAGGAAAAGGGCCCAGAACGCGATCTGTGGTGCTATCACTCCAACATCAATGGCGAGGGTGTGTATCTCCACGTAGCTTGCATCAAGCACTTCGCCGGAAGGAGATGGCAGGCAGGCCGTGAAAAGAAATATGGAGGGCAGATCATGCTGGCAAGCGAGGAGCTCATGATGGAGGGTCCCCTCAAGAGCATTTCATCGGAAAAAGACCGCATTATTGTTGGTGGCGTCATGCGCATCATCATCTCAGTGATATTTGGAGACCCGACTGCCAACAAGGGAGACAACGCTAGGGTCGCTTTATCCCTCCAGGGGCTGGCAGATTTATTTAGCATTCAGAGCTAAACTGGTGTGTGATCACTCTCCTTGAAAAGAACAAAAGACCTATCGGTGTGCATTGGCTTGTTTTGTTTGTACTTTTGTTTATTTCCTGGAATTGGCAAGGACTTTTATTTCCTTCGGTGTAAAATAATTCGTGTGTGTATATATATTGGCATGCAGTTTGCTACTGAGTACTGATTAAATAATTTGATAAAGAGTGATAAATGTAATAGGTATATATGTATAGGGTTTATTTTTCAACCTATGTGCTTGTAAACATGTTGCATTATAAATTGTATGAAATCATGAATTTTGATTGGTGATTTGAACTTAATTGTAAAATCTTTGGTTCATGATTATACTTTGGTATATGCTTGTTATATATTGGATGGGTTCATTTTCTTTTTATTGCAACACATGATATGATGTGCTATATATATATATATATATATATATATATATATATATATAATGCTAAGCTCTTGAATATTAATAAACATAATTACTATGCTTGATGAAATCATTATCAAAAGGGGAGAAGAGATACAAGTGCATGTTTTTCAGGTAAAGGAAAACGAAAGAAGTTTTCTTCTGGATTTTTGAGTACTCCGATGCTTTTTACCACTTTTGTTTTTATTTTTCCAAACACTAAAACATTTTTGATGAGTTTGCCAATGTGCTCATCAAGGGGGAGATTAAATCAAAGTTTGTTTGATTCTTATTCTGTGATGAACAATTGACATATGAGATTATTGGTTTTAATATTTGAGGATTATTGGAGTGGTTTTGGAGATGATTGAATTTGCAGGTGAACAAGAGATATTGCTGACAGGTGATAACCGGTCAGACCAGGCAGGTGCTGCCGGTCAGATCGGAGCTATGTGTGCGGTCAGACCGGCCAGCCCGCGGTCTGATCGGCTTACTCTGTGTCAGTTTCGGTTTCGGGTTATTTTGTTGGATATCAGTGGATAATTTATGTGTCAGTTTTGGTTTCGGGTTGTTTTGTTGGATATCCGTGGATAATTTATGTTTATGACTTCTAGATGGATACTATGCGTATGTAATACTGTTGTTTACTAACAATGAGTCAAGTTGGAGATAGCTTGTGCTCAGAATATGGTTTCTTGGTTGATGCATGTGTAGGTGATCTTAATGCCTCGAGAGAATGTTGCCGATGATGAATCAGGAGTCAACTTGGGAGAAGATGACGTCCGAATGATCAGGATATCATACGGCGTGCTTAGGCTAAACATCAATGCATGTGGTTGGTGAAGATTCTATATGGCATATGATGGAGATATTGTGTGCGTATAGGATGCGGAGTCGAATTTAGAAGGAGTCTAAATTTGGTACAATTGAAGTTTGTAAAGTTTGTCTATCACTGCTCCGTGCGCGGCTTCGTCTACCACTGCTCCGGCACCAACCTGAACCTCCACCCGTGCTGCGCGAGCCTGCAGGGGCCCATCACCCTTGACGGCCACGACTTCGATGTCCGGGCACCCAGGAAGTGCAGCCTGTGCAAGAAGGAGAAAGGGCCGGACCGTGAGCTGTGGTGCTACCACACCAACATCAACGGCGAGGGCGTGTACCTGCACGTGGCCTGCGTCAAGCACCTCGCCGGGAAGAGATGGCAGGCGGGCCGCGAGAAGAAACACGGAGGCCAGATCATGCTGGCGAGCAAGGAGCTCATGATGAAGGAGGGCCCCCTCAAGAGCATTTCGTCGGAACAAGACCGCATTGTTGTCGGGGGTGTCGTGCGCATCATCATATCGGTGATTTTCGGAGACCCGACTGCCAACAAGGGAGACAACGCTAGGGTGGCTTTATCCCTCCAGGGGCTTGCAGATTTATTTAGCATTCAGAGCTAAACTAAAACAAGAACTTAATCGGTGTGCATTGGATTGTTTTGTTCTAGTTTTTTTTTTTCTAGTTAATTTGTGCTTTTGTTGATTTCCTCCAATTGGCATGGACTTGTATATCCTTGGGTGTAAAATAATGCGTGTGCATGTGTATATGTGTGTGTGTATATATTTGCATGCGGTTGCTACTGAGAACTGGTTAAATATATCGTTGTTTAACTTATTGTGTTCTGCCCAAATATCTTATGACTCAAGTATGAATCATAGTTGTGTAGTTGTGACTGATTGGCACACACTAATACATAGTACCGAAAAGGTGTCGGGTTGCAAACCTGACAAAAAAATCGGTTTTGCAACTGGCACCATTTATCTACTAGTACCAATGACCAATGGTTATTTGGTGCTGGTGGTAGAACCAACACCTTTTGTACTTCCCACAATTAAAAAAAACAGAGACAGACTAGAAGCATCGGCTCAATGAACCGATGCATCCAACTACCTTCTTCAAGCCGCCTTTAATCCCCATACACAATATGTACAGATCAAGAACTCTATATTGATTTAGCATCAATAATCTCCATTCACATCACAGATAGAAATATTCAATTATTATTTCCCATCAGTAACAAAGCAACACCAGCAAGATGAAGAACTACACAACATCAAAAACTACACAAGTAGGATAAAAAACTCATCTTAAATAAAATAAAAAAAAGATCAAGAACTCACAACCTTCCCGCTGCCGCATCATTCACCACCAGCACCGTCACATTTGCCATCTTCCCGTTTATCACGATCGCCTATGCGTCATCCCCGGTGACCCCACCCCCAATCACCTCCCACCGGCGAGAGCAGCGTGATCTCCATGCATGCGTGCGTCGTCACCATCTCCACACTGAGGTCATCGCCGCCGATCCATTGGATGCGGTGAGAGTGGATGGGAGTTGCCACAGCTGCAGGAAAGGTGGAGGAAGTGGGAAGAGAGGATGATGGGCGGTGCTAGTGGTGAAGGTTGTGAGGATTGGGACGGCGGCGACGATGCACGCAGAAGTGAGCTGGAGTGGATGGGCGGCAGCAACAGGCCGAGAGAGGAGGGGATGGGGGCGATGGGAGAGTGCGAGAGACGATAAGGTTGGTGGGGTTAAAAGGAGTCTCACCCGTGACAGCTCAGCTCAGTTTCATAAAGTTGTCAATCTTTTAAAGAATCGGCACCTATAATATAAATACTAGGTGAAACCCTGCGCATTGCTGCGGGAATTTAGTATGAAGATATACATTGAAACATTATGTGAATTATGTTGGATAATAATTTAACATGTCTGTGTTTGAAAAGCTCTTAAATTATAAAAAACTATAAAGATATAGCAT